AATAAAATATGCATTTAAAGAGAAATTTTATTGGGAAATGTTTAATATTTTATATAAATTAATTTAAAATTAAATAAAAATAAATATGAATTGAAAGTATCAAATTTTTTTGTAGGAAACGTAATTTTTACAGTAACTACAAAACAAACTAATATAGGAGAAGAAACTAATATAAAATACAATTAAAACATGTTCATAAATAATCACATAAAAGGAAACTCAATGTAGAAAATACTTTTGAAAAATTCTAAAGTTTTGTATAGAAACATTATCAAAATCTAATTTTACATCGAAGAAGCTTTCTTCTTGGATAGAAAATTCGGCGGACTGGGATAAAAATATTTTTAGAAAACATCGACTAATGCATTGATAATAATATCAATGCATTAGTCGATTAGTCTTGTTTATTGCAAAATTTTTAAGAGTAATTTGTTTATTTATTAAAGATATAACAGTAGCCATCTTGTTGCATCAAGACCTAAAGTTCGGAGTATCATGACGAATTATATGTAGTGTGAAAATTGCAAATAATGTTTATTCTTGTACGAATGATAATTATAGCATCGTAGAAAGGAAGACAAATTATGAGTCATGATAAAGGAAATTTATAAATTTATATTACACAGTTTTGTTATTTATTATTAAACAATTTTGAAAATGTTAATGTATTTTAATAAATCTAAATTATGTGATGCCAACGATTTACAGAACATCTATTTTTCATGATTTATATCAAAGAATTGGCTAAAATTTTGCTAAATTTAGAACATAACTTTTGGTTTTTATTATTTAAATGAATTTTATCGATTGTCATAAAATATTTACGAAGATTCGGATGTTCATTATGTAATTTAAACATAAGATTCACGAAATATTTAATTTCGTTCTTAAATAAAAATATAGAAAAATGAGTTTTTCTTATAAGGATTTAACAAGTTCTACTGTATGAGCTATACTTATTGGACGGTCGAATAACCGAATCAGCCCTGACAAAACGCATGGTAGACAAAAAGAAATTATTTTCTTAGCATGGAAGGAGTACAGGGCATAAAGGCATTGCCACCAAATATTAGCATACAGTGTAGGACTATGAATAATAAATAATTGCCGGTTGCAATGACCCATTGACTTTTATCAAAAAGCTTCTGTGGTCACAATTCTCTTTCCACAGATCTTTACGTCGTGTCCTTCCGGAATGGCTCATGATTCTTACTTATAGTGCTGACAGAGCGGAAAAAGTAAAAATACCACACTTTTATATAAAATTATTTCCCGCTTAGCATTAATAATCCGTTCATGAAGATCATATATTTTGCAGGAAAACGTTAAGTGAGAATATATCTTCTATTATTTTTAAATGGAAAAAGTATAATGTGACCAACTTCCAAGTACCAAAATTTCCAACTAATTTTCTAAAAAACAAAAACAATACATTGTTTTAAGTTTAAAATTATCGTATTAAAATGTAAAATGCTTATTACATCGCATACTCATCACCTAATAATTAGTAAACAGTTGCTTTGTATGTACACATAACAATAAAGAGATTTGTTGCTACACTTGCTTATGAAGTTCTGATCAATTGAATTTAGAATGTAACTTGAATTCCAAAATAACTGTATTCATCAAAACATGTATCTACAAATAATCTATTAAAATCTAAATTTAAATTACAATTGTATGATCTGTTGAAAGTCAAAATCAACAATAAAACTTAATACATTCATTAGGTATTAGGTGGAGAATCTCAAAAACTAAAATAAAGTAAAGGAAACATTTAAAAACGAAATATACAGTGGGTGATCGGTTAACGAACAGATCGCATAACGAACAAATCGGATAACGAACACTTTCGCGAAAGATTTTTATGTTCGGACAACGAACACATGATCGGATAACGAACACCCCACAGAACAAACACAAGAAGAAGCGACGTAAATTAATGAATACCGATTGGTCTTCCCTTGTCTTCGGGCAACAATTCGAAACTTTTCGGAGTGTGGGAGACGTCGACATCGACGCTCAAGCCGATATATACCGATCGGATATTATTCCTCCGAACTTTGAAACTCTTCCTTGTAATTTCAGCCTTTTATTTTTCTGACAAAACAATTATTTTATGTATTCGTGAGACTGTCGGGTAGGCACTCGTTAAGTTTTGCGTCTGTTTTTCTTTTCGAAAGGTGAGAGTATAATAGCAAAGGTAGAGAGTGGGCAGAAGATGCCTAATGTTGCTGGGCAGTATGGCGTAAACAGGTCTACAGTAGGCTGAAGTTCAATCTTATTTAAGAAACATACTGTATAATCAAGAAGACTCAAGCAGCTAAAGGAGTAACAAAAATCACATCTGAGAAATAAAGAATATCGAACAGTTCATAATGGAACACGAAATGGATCTGACGACAGAAGAACGCCAAGAACTCTTGAATGAAGAACACCAAGAAACTCGGCGAGATATGTTTTCTTCTGAAAAAGAGGATTAATGCCGATATCTTATATTAAAGATCCTTTGAAGAAGTGGGAGGATGTCAGAACAACGGTCTTAGAATGGCATCCAAACCAGGTTAAGGCTTGGGGATTTCTGCAATTGCAATGCTATTAATTACTTACGAAAAATCCTGAAGAAGAGAGAAAAGCAATCGACATTAGACAGATTCTTTAACCCTTTCAAACAGAAAAAAAACACGACTAATAAAAACGCAAGACTATGTATGTATGTATTTTTATTATCATCAATACATATAAATAAAGGTAGTAAGAAAGTATATATTTTTTATTTTGGGGGGTCTCCAGAACCAATTAATCAAATTCCCATAGAAACCTATGGTAAATCGATAATCGGTTAACGAACAATTCGGATAGCGAACAAAGTCTTGGAACGGATTATGTTCGTTAACCGATCACCCACTGTAATTTGTTTGAAAATGTTTTACTTTTTAGTCTCAATAATAATAAACTAAATCATAAATAACGTAGTTAAGAGTTTTATTGGACTGCAATTTTAAAAAAATTGTAGACCTATAAATTCAGACTGTCGTCCAGCCGTCTGTCCGATTGTCCGTTCATCTGTCCGTAGATAAGTAAAATTCAAGACCAGATATGGAAATCGTAAGAGAAAGAGGACCGGATTAACTATATACGAATTTCCGATAGAAACCGAAGTCATATTATTTCAATTGAAAAATTTTTCCCCGAAAGGAGCTAGATAGATGACTAGCATAACTCGATTGCTAAAGGGAAAGTAAGGAGCAAGACACTACAGTACTAATTTGAGGTAGAGAGCATATAATTTAAATTAAATAAATTAAAAATATGATTATAAATTGCAGCCCGGCATTGTGATGATGTCACAATAAATAATTGTTCGTTCTGAATAAAATTCTGTGAAAAATGTATTTGCTAGTCATCATTGACACGACGTGTAAATGTTCCTTTCCCTTAACGTATTGTAATGGAACTCGAAACAAAACGTTGTAAATTATATATTCTGGAAACAAATCATCAGGAACTTGAAGATTTGTTTCCAGAATATATAATTTATAGGAGATGTAGAATTTTTACACGAAACACACTTTCGAAAGCGATTTTCTGAGAAATCATCTACATTGAGTATATTTTGAAAACAGCTCATCAAGCTGTAAATTTTGACATAGATCCCATCAAAATATCAAATTTCTACATCGCAACAACCTTTTCTTATTAGGCGAATAGATAAGAACTAGTTAAACGAATCTACATCCTCCTTTAAGAAAAATTGTTCAGAATATCATATAACCTATTTTAAACAAAAATCGCCGTAGATTCAGAAAAAATTTCATTATTTTACATTTTAAAAAACAATATTAATATAATTTTATGTATACTATTATATCAAATTCCTCAAGCAATTTTATACTTAATCAACAATATGAATAAGCATTTCTTCAAATTCATACCAGAAAGATTAATATTTTCAAACCTTAATAACGTGATCATCTTTACATTTACCTCATATCATCTCGATAAATGCCAAATGTTAAGAGTAACGAGAATTTTCCAGATGATTAAGTAAAGCTTCTATCAAACTTTTTGCAATTATATCGTAGTAAATACCGAAGTAAAGCTATATAATTAAGTAAATAATTGTTATATATAGTCACCTCCCAACATAAACAATACAGTTACCTCTCGACCACCTTTAAATGACACTATTTTTTCAAAAAACATTTGTTTTAAAATGTATACAAAATTACGACTATTTTTATGCTTCTGTCACTGTCCTTTGTATTAAATACTTATTCTTCATTAAATAAGAGAATTAATGAGAATTCCCTTTTCGAAGATAACTTGCTTCGTATCTTCTATCCTACGAAACCATTATCGAAATTTTTATGAATTTTAACTGATAGGAACATAAGAAAATGGACGTTGCTCAAAAGTGGCCGTTGTTTCGAGGTTATTTTGTATACGTTTCAGAAAAAGAAACGTTCCTGAAAATTGGCCGCCGTTTAGAGATGTTTTTTTGTTGGGGTAACCGTTATTGAAGGTTAGACTTTATATGTTTTTCATTAGTTGCAAATTCTACAAAACAATGAAAAAAATATATTATTGATATAATGAACATTTTAATAATTATATCACATAAATAAAATTTGCAACATCAAAATTTTCCATGCGATAAAGACTTGGATTCTTCTTTTCGTTCAGTGGATTTTGGCAATATTTTGATAATATAAAATAAATGTATAAATACTGTATTTAAGACATTTTCTGCATAGTTATTAATTATAATAGTACAAAACTATACTTTTGAAACAGCGTCCAAAACGAAAAATAGGAATTTCGAAAGTTAAATTTTTCAAATTTTAGAAGTTATACTTTATGTATTATATTAATTAACACAAAATAATTTATTTACAAAATATTTCAAAAATTGATAATAATATAGGAATTCCAATTTATATTTTTTTATAAATACATCAGAAAGATTTTCAAAAATTATTTTTTAAATGATTATTCTTCCTAACAACAATTTTTACAGTTTAGATTTTATCCAAGTTCAATCAATTGAATTCTTGTAAAACCAATTCATGCTTTTAGTTTTTCTGTATAAATTCGAATAAAATCAGCAAAACTAGATTTTATTATTCTAAAAAAAATATAACTTCTATTTCACTAATAAACTTACATTTTGTTTCCTTTTCTTTTTCTTTTTTAATAATACATCAAAAATGATTTTCCGGATTAAATTTCGAGCATCATCTCAGATTCTGATTGATGCTCCATTAAGTTTTTAGAAAGTAGAACTCTATTGACTACATCATTAAGTGCTCTATTGGGTAGACCACTGAATGATCCAAGATGAATGCTCCAATAGATTTGCCATTTATTCACTCCGTCCTCTATCAATGAAGTTCTTAGAATCTATACAAAGACAAAATTAGTAATTAGTTCTAATAAGTGAAATTATTTTTGTAAAAATTATTTTCTCTTATACAAAATTACTCTTTCATGAAATCAAGTCATTTTTCTACTAGAAAATTTTCGTTTTTAACTATTTTTCTCGTCATCTTATTTAATTTATAACATCTAAAATGAAATTTTAGTACTTAGGTATGAGTAAAAGGAGTATAATCTCTCAACGAGGAAGAAAATATCTAAGTTATTTTTTAAGTTAAATTCTTAAAGTCAACTAGTATCATTCAAAAAACAAATATAATCGCACGATTGCTGCATTTATTGATCATACAAAAGCCTTCGATTCAATCTCCTTAAATCTTCTTTGCTACAAAGTGAATAACTATAATGTAAGTAGAAAAATGATCCAGCTGATTTTTCTCCTTCCGACAACTTACAAATCCAATCTTCCATCACTTGTTGGAATCAGAATTCAATCGGGAATTATAGGAAGGAATTATATATAAACTTTATTTTATTAATTCCTGCTCAAGCCAAACAAACCTTCTACAATCTTTTTAACTGAACATTTCATTATAAATCTTTAATTTATATATAACATTTAAGATGGAAATTGAGAGTACAATACAATCAGTTAAAATATAAAAAAAATTAAAAAAAAATAATTCGCTTAATTTTATAAATTTATTATATGTTAATCTAATAATATAAAATGTTTATTATATTTTATTACAAAATTATATAGATAAATACTTCAGCAATAAGGTGTTTTAGAAATTGAATGTTCGGATTCATTAATTAAATTCTTTCGTCTCTTTAGGGAATAAAATTACTTAACATTAACTTTTACCAATGAAATTTTTCTTTATTTGATATTATTGTTTAAAGTTTATTTTAACTTTTTGAAAAATAAATTTCTTACATTATCCTTTTTTATTTTGTATGATGAATATTAAGCTCTAGTTCTCGAAGAAGATAATCAAGAAATATCAACTAAAACATGAGAAGAACATGAAAACCTGACAGTCTAAAACGAAATTCTTATTTACTCGCTTTATACGAATCCAAAAAAATTAGAATTTCATTAAAATTTTAAAAATCTAGCAATAGGAAGGAAGGAATAATTCAAAGTGAGAAAAACATTGAACATGTTGAGGTTCAACTCTTGTCGTCACTAGGTGGCGTTGTACTATTCCTTTGTTTTCCTATGCATATATATGAGACCCCTTTGTTTACATTCTCTTTCTTTCCCCTTTGGGTTACACTAAGGACAACGGTAGATCAACTGTGTAGTTTTATGTATGTCTTGTGCCTTTGTTTGTAGTATATATTCCTTGAGTTAATAATAAAAAAAACAGATTTTTATCATGCTGCAATATTCTGTTCTTATTTGTGATTAATTAAGGAACAGTTAATACCGGCTTTCAGAGATTAAGCTGAAATTCAAGAAATGTCATACTATCATGTGACAAATAATTAGTGAGAAGTTGTGGACATTTATCCTTCAAGAAAATAGCATAGAAAATTGATATTGATAAGTGAAAAATATGAAATGAAATCAGTTTTCACACAAATAAAGTTTAATTTTTCGAAATATTTCCGAATTCTTTCCTTCGTCCACTTATAAGTATTGTCAAAAAAGCAAGAGCTTTCATTTAACTTGCACATTTCTTCTGCAAAGTTAAATGGAAACTGTATTCAATAAATCATAACATAATATCTGATATCATGAAATCATTTTTCTTTTAAAAATTTAATGAATAAAATGTGTTCTTAGTTTTAAAAAGTTCTTATTGAGCTGAATTTAAATTTATCTTATTTTTTAAAATAATTATATAGATCAATACATTTTATTATAATTTTTAATAAAAATTACTCATATTCTTTAAAAATCTTATCTCTATAGTATTGTAATAGTAATTAATAGCCTAATTACTTAAGTGAACAAAGTTATTTTCCATATTTTCATGAATGTGTCTTCTGTTAATTATTGTTCTCTTTTATTTATTTCTGGTCTTTAATTAATATGAGGAACACCAGTAAGGGGCTCCTCAAAATGTAGACTTAATCCTATGAACACTGGCGGCAAAATTAAGGCGACAATTAACGTCAACGATTGATCTCACCAATCGCCTCTTTTGACCTTGACAATCGAAAGAGATGATTAGTTGAGCCTTCCGCCGACGCTCGTTGTCATTTTTATTTTGCTACTCATGTGAATCGACCTTTAATGATACCTGTAATTTGCTTTGGAATATTGTGAAAGAAATTTCTTAACTTTTCCTTACAACAATCAGTTATCGGGGACTGTTTTAATGATTTTCAAGCCATCAACATCGAAGATGTCCTGAAGAACACAGGAAAAACTTAAAATCTGTTAAGATAATGGAAAAAGAGTATCATATGTAACTTCTAACATGCACAGGGACTTTGTAGCTGGTCTGTGTCTGTATTTGCTTTCAATTAATAGAGGTATTTACATATTTCTATTTAATTAAATTTCATTAGTTAATTTGAGAAATTCTGACATTTCAGAATTACAAATACGAAACAAACTGGAAAAAATTTTAGAGAAACTTTTAACATTTACAAATTAAAATAGGGGAAAATATTTAAAATTTTAATCAAATTCATGATTGTTTCTGATACTTTCTGATTTTTCTCCACTAATTAGCGAATTAGCGTAAAGGACATTTAAGCAACAAATTTTAACAAATATTTAAAAATTGTTCATACAGTTTTTATTTATATTTTTAAAAATAAATTTTAAATAATTCTGAAATAAATAATGTTTAAAACAAAATTTTACTAGGTTTATAAAATATTCAACATTTAAATTATTTAGTTCACTAATGAATCACGTGATTAAACCACTAAACACGGCTTTGCGCCTCACCAATAGGCCAGGCACGTGGAGTTTTTCGTGTTTTTTTCACGTGTCTAACACCTAAACAGAGACCAATTTCGCTTAAAAAGTCCACCTGGGAGATAACCCCTTGACAGATTGCCCAAATGTTGCGTTGCCTTACTTCATCAATCTAATCCAATCTATCTCATTCAAAATAGATTAAATTAATTTTTAAATTATAATTTAATAAATTTATAAGTTAAATTTAAACAGTTTAATTTAATAATTTTCTGCTAAACTATCAAATTTAATTGTTCAATATTTATTTTTTACTAATAGTTTAATCAGACTATTAACGAATTTATGATAAATTTTTAAATATTTTAAATTGTAATTTTACCCATTTTTAAATTATATTCAACTTAAAATATTCAGAAATAATAATTTTTTACATGTTAAACATACGTTTGAATCATAAATTTAACTTTAAAATTCTAAAATTATCTCGTAAAGTACTTTTGAAGTTCGCAACTAACAGTTTCATATGCGTAAAGGCATACATTAAAATTCTTAAAACATTCAGCATATGGAACTTAACAAAAAAATATATAAAATTAAGATATTTTATAATTTTTTCCTCTTCTTAGCTAAGTTTAATCGCAAATATTCAGTCGATTTTTATGCATATAAGAATTTATATCAGATCATAAAGGAATACAAATGATGGCACGTTGATGTATTTGTAGCGAATGGCGTAAAACATGTTTATAGTAGTAAAAACGTTTTTCCTTATGATTTATGAGTAATAAAGTAAGTTTTGCAAGTTTGGGAAATGTTCCAATCTAAACAATAATAATTTGAAGTATTATCTTCGGTTTGTATGTCTCGAGTTTCAAAAACTTTTATTTTCAATATATCACTTTTCACTTTTTCAAAAAAGTTAATTTCAGATTAATCTTTATATTTCATTATGATTAATGATTACTGCGTTTTTTTTTCTTTAAATTTATTTATTATTATTTATAATTTATTAGCTTGAACATAATGTATTCAATAAATCTTGTTACTAATATAAAATATAGTATTTACGTAATATTAAAAATTTATTTTTTTAATTAGTGTATTAATTACAGTTTTTGTAATGAATTTAAATAAATATATCCGTAAGTTAAAAGATTTTGTGTACTAAAAGGCCTTATTTTTTAGGCCCCGCTTGGGTTGGGCATGGCCCACAATGAACGGCCAGGTGGTGAGGGATGGGACCTAAATGTTAAAGTTTTATTATAAAAAATATAGCCTTCTACGAATGAAATTCTGATGCAAGTTTTGAACTATCTTCCATTAAAGTTATGAACAATTTTCCTATGATATCATTTTAATTTATAATAAATAAATTTTGAAATCCTCAAGAAGCAATGTCTGTAAAATATGTCGATACTCTAAAACATAAATGAATTGTGATATAATTTAATTCTAAATAAGAATAAATTCTTATAAATTTGCTGTTAGAATATATTGTATAAAAATACAATATAACGAATAAGCATATATTCGGATTGTATTTAAATAGTAACGAAATAATAACTACTTTAAAAATATTCTTCTACAGTTTTATGGTATTGACTCATCTCAAATCATTCGATATATAAACCTTTTTTTTTGTTCAAACATCCTAAAATTACAAAGGTATATGTTGTTTAATGCCACGAGTGATTATTCCACAATGTTATTTGTTTGTTGTAATTCATATAAATTAGATGAAATAGGATTTCTGCAAATTATACTTGTTGTGACATAAATTCATACGATGTCAGCGCATAATTATAGGCAGGAGGCACACCAAGTTGAATGTGTGATGATCTAACGTGATCTCGTTCTTTTCCAGGCAAAAACAGTGTTCTATAGGATTGAAGTTTCTGTCATGTAATTTAACTACAGTAGAGCGTCCTTTATCCGAAAGTCGGTTATCCGAATCATCGGTTATCCTAAAGCATTCCAGTCGGCAAATTTAAATTTTCGCTAGTGCTGTGGCGCTTCAATCTTTGGGCTACTCTAATATTTTTGTTTTGTTGGTGTGTGTTTTTTAGCTGGCAGCACTGGCATTTTTGTGCGGTGTTTTTCTGAGGATTGTGTGTTGTGCTGAATCGAACGTTTTGATACTAGATCTTCTTCTAAAGTATATATTTTGTGGTTTTTATATTTTTCAATNACAGTAGAGCGTCGTTTATCCAAAAGTCGGTTATCTGAAAGCATTCCAGTCGGCAAATTTAAATTTTCGCTAGTGCTGTGGCACTGCAATCTTTGGGCTACTCTAATATTTTTTTCTTGTTGGTGTGTGTTTTTAGCTGGCAGCACTGGCACTTTTGTGCAGTGTTTTTCTGAGCATTGTGTGTCGTGCTGAATCGAACGTTTTTGATACTAGATCTTCTTCTAAAGTATATATTTTGTGGTTTTTATATTTTTCAATATATTTATTTTGTTTGTAAGAAATAAAGAAATAGTTTTTAACGATACAACAGCCACGATTATTATTTTAAAAAGTATACGTTAGGCTTAACATCGACGAAAATTCAACGCAAAGCGACACGCAGCGGAGATAAATTTCAACACGGGATAGGTTAATATATTTTTTGTACATAATCGTTATCCGAAAAATAAGTTATCCGAACAACCTCAGTCCCCAATTGATTCAGATAAACGACGCTCTACTGTAATGCAATTTGTTGGTTTTACCTTTATCTAATTTGTAGTAAAGCGTATTATGAAAACCAGAGACCTGAATAATTCATTTAACAATACTGTACTATTCATATTACATTTATATAATATGAAGTGTTCATGTAAATTAGATGAAATCTTATTTCACCTCTTCGAAAGAACGACTGTACTGTATAGTCAATTTCAACCATAACAGTCCAAATGTTCATATGAAATGTTTATAGCATTTGAGAATATATTTATTTTATTTGTTATGATTCTTTAAAAGAAATTATTAATAATATGACCTTGTTATTTACTTCAAACACACATCCTAGAGTAATTTTCATAAGTGAATAGTTTCTATTAGACTAAGATTGATCTCAGATCAGTGATAAAACTGGGTATATTGCTATGACCATGCAAGAAAAATATCTCTTACAATTGAAGTAAAATTCTTCTTTGACTACTACACAGATTTTACTTTAATTCATTTAGTGATACATTGCTTATATTTATGTTTTATATGATGTTTATCATTTTGTACTTACAAAAAAGAAAAAAAGAAATCAGACATCGCGGCATGGCCAACGCGTTATTGAAGTTCGAACCCACGACGAGTGTTCACAAGTTTTTATCCATTCGATTTCTGGGCACTAAATTTAATGGAAATTAAGTAACATTAAAAAATGGCAACGCGACCCTGAAATTGTTGTCACTTTTACTATAAGTTAACAATATATTATCACTTTGTAAAACGGTAATAGTCTGTTATATATTACCAACAACCTGTTTTCTAAATTTATGTTTAGATTTCTTTTCATATATTATTAGCTTTAAGAATATATTACTTAAACAATTTTGTAAGCGTTTCAATTTAATACTTTGAACTGTAATTAAACTATAGATTACATCCGTAGCAACGATTATAACCGCAGGGTTACAAGAAGAAAGGAACAGTAATTTCAAATTAAATCTTAAGATAGCAATTAAAATGTTAAGATTTTGATTACTTTTTATAAAAAAAAAAACTTTAAAAAGTACTAAAAATGTTTAAGTAAATATTTAAATTAACGTTACTGAAAAACATTTTTTCGTAATCTAGAGTTTAAATTAAACAAAATTTATTTATTTTGTAGAATAAAAATTCGAATTTTCTTGTAAATTTGTGATATAATTATTTCTATATTATTTAAAGTGTATTAATTTCCTATTATTAGAACTAATTAGAGCTGTTAATTTAATTTTAATTCAAAAGGGAAAAACCGAATCTACACCGGAAACTTTCTGGCCGCTCGCCGATTGAAAACATGACAAACCTATCCAATATCCTTCTGAATCAACAATTATTTAGATGTTTGGACTTATGTTATAAACTTAGTCAAAACATTCGATTATTAATGATGGGAATCTGTCAAACGGATGGAATTATGAGGTAAGACGAGCCCCGATAACGGATAGAAAATATTCATAATTCATCGAAACAACCGATTCTTGACAGCCCGTATCAGCAAAACCCAGTCCTGGCTCAAACTTAGAACACATTAAATCAAAGTCACCTGAGTCAGTTCTCATGCGCCACACGTATAAAAAGGGGTCGCACCCGACTCCCCGCTGGACCTCCCGCTCCTCGTCTCTACCGTCCAGAAGGCATCGCCATTCGACCCGACATCTATTGAACTATTATGTTTATTTAATTTATGTAAACTCTCTCTCTCTCTCTCTCGGTCGACTTAGATTTTAAGTTAGACTTAGGTTTAAGGAACTAGCTACCCGCGAGAAATCTGCCGCGTCACCTCTCAAAAACGGACCCTCTATTATTGTTATGTTATCCTACCAATGTAACTTGGTTACATTGTGTCTGTAATCTGTGTTTGTATTAAATTTTGTTAGTTGTTGACCTGTCATTCTGTCTGCTTTCGGGATCCTATCGGCTTATCCACCCCCTCGTCGCTCGGATTCCGCCATCCACTGACGCTTGAGCGAGGATCTACCATTTTCGATGCCGGACAAAGGGCTTAGAACTGTTACCCCCTGAGCCTTCGTCTTCTCACATCAGCAATTTAATTATTGAACAATGTTGAAGAATTCTGTGTGTAGTGTCTTTGCAATCAAAACAATAATTAAAAATGTAAGTGTTTATAGATATTTTGAAATTAATAACCTATGTTATAATTTTTATATAAATGAGGTATACAGCCACGCCCTTTACTTTTTTCATATTATAGGAAATAATCATACAACTATGTAATGAAAATATTGTCACACAAGTCTATGCTGTATCATTATATAACATGTAAGTTTTTTATGTTATTGTCACCCCTCGTTTTTTGTTACGCCTACTTACCAATGTCGTGAAACTCACCTTGTTTTTTGTAATTTTTAACAGCACTGAAGAGGGGTTGGGAATAAAAGCCAACTCGAAATGCATCTGAATTAAAAAAGTGTTTTAAATAAACCGTAACGTTTTCTAATTGCTGTTTGATCATCTACCAAAATTATTGTTTGGATTGCAAAGACGCTACACACAGAATTTGAAGATACAGCAACCATACCTTCTACATTAAGAATGTTGAAGAATGTTTATTTTGCTGTCGATCATTTTATTATATTTCAATAAAGTTTAGAAAAGATTTTAATTTAAAAAATATCTATTTTCGATGTTATAAAATCCTAAAATATAATAATAAATATATTTAAAAATTAATTNTTAAAATAAATTTTTAATATATTTTTAATCAAATTAGGAAACGAGATATTTTAAATGTAATTCAGGAAAACATTAAAGTAAAATTTAAAGATATTCTAAAAATATTATTTAAATGATAAGTTATGAAACGTAATTAGAGCAAAGCGATAATTTATAATAATCAATGCATGAATAAGCGTAGTTATTTTCAAACATTAATCCGTAGAATTTTTGATATTTTATTTTATTTTTTTATTTTAACAAATATTAAAATAGAAAGAAATTATCGTTTAAAGTGCAAAAATGACCCAGTTACCTTATATAAATTTAATGTTATAAATCATTCGAAAATATTATTTATATAAAAAAATCTTAATTACCTGTTAATGAATTATCGAATTAGTCGAAAGAAACTTGACGAAATAATATATTTTTGATGTTAAAAGTACGAATTTATCCAATTTTTCGTAACTTAAACGTGTGTAGTATGTGATTACATTGACAAAGCAACTTCACTCGCATTTAACAGAATGTCATTTATCCAAAAAATCTTTTTGACAAACATTTCTGGTTCCAAATAAGTTTGTACAAAATCGATGCTCTACTTTATTTGAAATCTTAGATTCTTTGGAAAATAATCGATTTGACATTAAATTTTTTCTTTAAGATGTAACTAATACTCGAGCCAACAATCCTGAAATTCATTCAAATTATCTGAATTCAGTTTCTAAAAATTATATTATTATTATTTAATAAATTTGTAAATAAATTTAGAAATTTTTCTGTCGACCTTTTTATTTAATGTACAATACGCGCATTTATACTAATTTAATAAAAAAATTTTAATTATTAATATTAATGCTAACTAGAAAACATATATTTAATAATCCCTCGATATAGTGCTTCAAAATTCTGAAGATATACTTTCAGGTATATTTATTTGTTATAGAGTGAAAATTTAAACTTTTAAGAGTGGTTAATATAAATTGTCCATTGTCCATTATCAAATTGTGTACCATGTCAAAGGTTAACTCAATAATTGAGTAATTGGTTCTGTTAATAAACAAAGACTATTTGTTAAAATTTATTTGAAATTAAAAGTTTAAAAAAAGTAATGAGACAAACCAAAAATACACATTATTAAACACATCTGAGTGGCATGAAAAGAAAGGTGGATCGTATTTTAATGTATTTCTTTGGTGTATTATTATATATTTCTCAACAGCCTTATTGTTTTTTGAAATGTTTATTATGTTAATGTTAGACTAAATGTTTTTGCTTATTGAAATTTTAAATTTCTAAAGTAAGGAATATTTATGTCAAACGCTTGAAATATTGTTAAGCAATAACTATAAAATTCACACACTTTAAACGTTATCAAAATTTATTATTATTATTTTTTGTTTATCTTCACATCTTCCAATATGCTTTTCGTTTAAACAAGAAATTATTCTAACTTTACTAGAAAATTTTAATATTTGAAATGATTTGAATTCATCGAAAGTAGATGGGCATATTTTACTGGAAAATGTTTCGTTATTTAATTTTTAATAATATTATTCTATACTTTTATGTGAGTTACAAAGGTAGTTGATACAACTTACCTACAAAATTTTCAATCTTATTAATTAATCACAAAATTTTCACGAAAACAAAGTTTTATTATCGATCTTCGTTCATAGATTTCGAACCTATTAATATTTTTTGATTTAATTCGAAAGTTTCAACGTTCTAACGTCATTTCCAAATTCATAAATACAGCCACAAAATTATTTTATTTTACTTAAAATTACTTTTCAGGAAATTAAGAGTATATCAATTTTCTCAAAAGTCCTTTTAAGTTTAAATTTATTTATTTTCTACACAAATGATTTCTACTTTGTTTTTGGTAATCTAATATAAATAGAAGAATTATGTATTCAAGTAATAATTTACATTAAAATTGTCCTCTTGATATTCATGAATCTATTTTCGAAAAGAATAATCCACTATAGAAAACTTGAGAATCGAATGACTTGGTTATAAACCGACAAATCAAGTAAACAGTAATTAGAGAAAAGAGAAGCAAAGTTCAAAAGCAGAGAATTAGTCCTAATTAAAAATTAATAGATATTAATTTATGAATTTCAAATATTTCTTGTCGTGGGTTCGCACCTGACCAACAGGCTGATGACATGAATTTTTCTATGTTTTTTTTTAATATCTAAGTGGGGATCAGTTTACCATAGAAAGCCCTCATGGAAGACATTTCTCCTTGTATTGAACTGGATTGGATTGTTGATACAAGGCAACGTAACACACGGGCCTTTTGCCAAGGAGGTAAGCCTCCCGAGAGGACTTTCTATGAGAAAATGGTCTATATTTAGGTAATAAACATGTGATAAAACCCGGAAAACATTACCTGGGCATTCCATTGATGAGACGAGAACCCATGATTAATTAATTACTAGGATTCAGTGACTTTATTCACTTGGCCAGTAGTGGAGCATTCCATCTTGGCAGATCGCCTTTGTGTTGCGTTACCTTATCTCATCAACTCAACCAATCCATTTTTTAAAAGAAGTTCATTTTTTTATATTTCTTAATTTAAATTACATCTTAAGAAAGCCATTTGTTAGTATTTCAATATGCCTTCTATAGGGCCTATTATATAGTATGAAAAAAAGCTGCTGATTCTAAAGTCTCATTCAACTTCTGCTTTTAATTTTATTATTTTCATCTCCAACACATCATCAATTTGAATTTCAGATTTCTTATGAGAATCAGAAAATCTGCAGTTTATTTTCATTCCTAAATTATACAAATTTGATCGTTCAGTTCTAGAAAAATCAATGAAAACTAAACTAAATTTATCCTATTTTGGGTAAAATATATGATTACTTTCATCAAAAGAATAGTAAATAAAGTTAATATAATAAGGAAGCTTAAGAGAAATATATATA